AATCATACGGCTGACAGTTGACACCTGTACTCCACGTAATTCCGTTGGGCGGCGCAAACCCGAAATGACCAATAACTCCATTACTGAACAAGTTATCGACGGGAGGCAGAAAATGATATGAATTTTATTTTTTTATTTAAAAATATAAAAAAGTGTTTTTTTATAAATAAATTGTATATGTTATTTTATATTATTTTATTAAAAATATTTAAATAAATTTATGAAGCAAATTATATTTTTAATAGATAATCTATCTTTAAAAACTTGAATTTCTTTAAAATATAAATATTTTAAGTTTTTAAATTAGTTAATAAATTTTTATTTTTTATTTAAAAAATGAAAATTTTCATTTTTATGAAAATTTTAAACGTATATCTTTTCATTTATTGTCTTTTTTTATTATTAATTTATATAAAAAGATAAAATTAACTTTATTTTTATCAGGAAATCATTTTATTGACAGTTTAATTAAATTATTTTACTTGATATTAGAATTGTAAATAAAGTTTATTTTCCTAATTATACAAATTAAAGTTGAAAAGGTATAGTAAATGCATCATTAGGAAATAGGTTAGAAAACCTTTTTTTTATTCAGTTTTTAATATCCAAAAATCACATTAAACTCCAACTAATTTACAATCAATTCATGTTAGATCCTATAAAAAAAAAATCTCCAAACACCTATTTATTCATTTATAATACTCTAATTAAGGTTTTTATTTAAGAAAAATTAAACTCATTTTATTAATTAACATATCATTAGTTAAAAAAATGAATCTTTTTTTTTTTAAAAGGATGCTAGCTTTTTTTTTTTTTTAACATTGAGAAATTGAAAGAATATGAGGAAATTTTTTAAGTTATTGGTAAAAGTAGAACTTTTTATCAATAGAAACTAAATACTTAGCCTTAAAGAGGAACCCACTTAATCCAATGTACTAGTTCTTAAAGGATGCTAACTTTATTCTATATTTTGAGTAAGATTACTATTTATCACGTTATTATCTCCATACACAGAGGATTTAAGGGGCAAGGGGGGCCATGGCCACCTAAGCTAAAAAAGATTTAGAATTTATTTATATATAATATAATTTTTATTTATGAAAATATAATAAAACAGCTATAATCAACAACAAAAAAATTCTTATTTTAGATACTAGAAAAAGTAAAGTAAATAATTTAATGGTTAAAATATAATCCAATAATTTATTAAAAAAATCTCATAAAATAATTTTAGTCCCTTTTTATTATCCCCACACAAAATATTTAGAAATCCATTATTTGCCATGGAAGAGAGAGAGAGAGAGAGAGAAATCTTGTTCAACCTTTCCAAAATGTAGAATCGCTAGTCCCTATTCGTCTCCAATCCCCTTACAATTATTCCTCTCCAATTAGTAGATAATCTTCTATTATTGTTTAAATGTTCATATATTAATTTTCTCTTTGTGTATTTGAGTGTAATTATCTCTCTTTCTTCATGCATATATCATTTTACTCCGTTCTTTCTTTTTGAATTGTTTCACCTCTTCCAAAAAGCGTATTGATCTAATTCACACTTTTTTCTTATAATATTGAAAATACCTATATAATAGATTTAAAAAAATAAAAATTGAAAAAATTTTATTACTTTTATTTTAATATATAATGAGTTTTAATAAAAATAACATAATTACTTATTTAATTTATTAAGTATATTATATACTATACTTTATATTATTTTACCTTTGATAGAGAAAAGGTTTTTTTGACCCATCTAAAGTTTGAAGCAACCTTTGACTCTAATTATTGTCACATAATAAATTTTTAATAAAAATATAAATTTTATATTTTTTTAAAAAATAAAATATTATAACATAATTTAAATTTTTAATCTATCAAAAAAAAATTTTAATTTATTTTTTAAAATAAAATAATAACATAATTTATACCCATATTTGCATCTCTTTTCACAAGTTAATTCGTTAAAACCGGGGGGTTAAGGCCATCTATCGTCCCTCTACTATAAAAAGTAGTGCATTCTAAACCTCCTACTATGAATTGGCTTCATGTCGTCCCTCTACTATTAATTAACTCCACTTGTCATCCTTCTACAATGCAAAAACACCCCAATGTCGTCCCTCTGTCCACTGTAACTAACGGTGCTGTTTATTAACAGTTAAATGCAACGGTCACACCGGTTATCATTTTTTTTTTGTCACCCTTTCTTCTGGGCCCCATCCTTATCACATCATCTCTCACACAAATTTTTTTGCCTTAGCCTAACTTCCTACTGCCTCCTCAACCCAACGTGGATCCTGGAGAAGGCAATTATGGAATTTACAATTGATAATTTTTAAATAATAAAATATGAAAATCTCATAATTTGAGAAGATAATAGATAAATAAAGATAAT